TGCACGCTCTGGCAAAAGACCGTCTCGATAGATTGTATCGCGTTTCATAGCTGCAACCGATGATAGGGGCAATTTTTCGTGCGTGCACACGCTCATTTTCCAGTTTCGACAACTATATGTATGCATGTGTGTACGTGTACAGGAGGTAGACTGGCTGCCCACGTCGAACGACCTACCTAACCTTAAAAAAGCCTTAGTCCTAAAGCCCGGACAATTGGAGTTTTAGTGTCAGGGGCTATTTAAAAAACCGTGTCCCGGACCAGGACAGTGCCATGGCCCTTCCTTACCATGTAACCAGTGTGGAAGTGTCTGTAAATAAAAGGTAGATAAAGTAGATAAGATAGGTAAGTATCTGTAAATAAAAGTAGATAAAGTAGATAAGTAAGATTGCCTATTTATCCACGTGATTTAGATGTAACCCATTCGAGATGGATTACACACCGTGTCTAACGATCTTGAACTTGAGTTATTAGTTATTTAGTGAAGATAAGATAGAGTGAAACTTGAAGATTAAAATTTGCTCGTGAAGGTAATCCCTTTATGTTTGGGAGGATGTTTAGGATTACCACAAACAAACAAAAATAAGTGAATTGGAGGGAAAATTAATTTATTGCCTCTGTAACGTTTTCTTAAAACTTATTTATGAATTATCTTCTAATTTGTATGACTTACAACTGAAAATAATGATCCTCTTCTATTATTTTTGAGACAAATCCTCCTCCTCCACTTTAATTCTATCTTTTCTTCTTAAAAATAAAAATATTCTGAAGAGCTACACGATACACACTTATTTACTATGTTACTTATACGAAAAGTGTTTGCAATTTTAATCTCTCACCTCCTAAACGTTTCTTCTGCTTAAACTGAACTTTGACATATAAAAACAAAAAATTTTATTTCCGCTCCCAGGGATCGTGTTTAAGATAATTCTTCGTCTCGAATGCGTTAATTGGAAAGAAATTAATTAAGGAGAGGAAGCTTCGATTGTAGCGTTGTAAATTGTACGTCGCTCGACACGAAATCTGAACAGCGCTGCGTGACACTGAAACGGTTAAATATCGACAGAGGAAGATCGGCCGATTCTGGGAAACAGAGAGTATCGGTTACAAGGTGAACAATGGCACCGCCGTTGGCCAACGCCGGCGGCCGTATTTAGGCTATCGGTGTCACCGTATTCAATTCCTTTACCACCTGGGTCATCGAACCGTTGTTCGGTTATACCCCGGCATTGTTACCTCGAGCGGCCCGACGACACCTGAGTGGATACCTCCGAGACGACTGGAGTCAAAATTCCAAAGCTGAAGTGGCTTTTTTCTCTCCATCGATCGGTGGATCCTCCGCGAGGACGCTTGCAATCGGCGACAAAACAATCGTTGCGTATCCAACTCCTCAGCAACGATCGTGCACTTTGTAAAGATAGATCTGGAAAAGGCAGAAGCTGTTAGGAATTAGTCAGATATCAGGAATAGTGCTATAATACAAAGATAGTAAAATCGTCAAAGGCAAGGTACAAATTGGAGAAGAAAATGAATAGAAAAAAAGGGTTCAAAACTTCTAGAGTAGTTAGCACTGAATAATGTAAAAAAGTCCTAATAAATATGGGTTGAAAAATTAATTTTCTTTTTTTTTTATTCACCTTCACTCAATCAGTTTTTAGCCAGTATTTTTATCATCAATTAGTTAAGGAAGTCTTGTCTTGCTCGAATAAAAGTTCTCTAAAATTGTATAGTATAATTTCTTAATTACCCTTATAACGTGATAATGGAACAATATACCCTTAGAATTATATACGCTTCGAACGTGACAATGGAACAAAGGAAGAAAAGAAGGAAGGATGACAGATCGTTGCAAAAATTTCGACAACGTCGATCGGCAAGGCGAGATAGATCTTTCTTACGGTCTCGCATAAATCAGGCTCATCCTCCGCCGAGGACCACTCGTTACGCTCGTTCACGCTCTCGCACCACCCGCACGCTTGGCATTCGTAAATTTTCCTCAACAATGCCGTCCTGATGCGGCTCAGGCTTCTAAAAGGGTCGAGCTTTGTAACCGATAGCCTAAACCTATCCGAATTTTCTCCTGCACCTGTCCGACTCTACTACGAGTCTGTTCTTTTATCTTCCGTCCTTTATTTCGACGGGCATCAATTTCCAAACCTCGTGGCCGTTACTCAGCATCGAGACTCACCTGAACCTGTAACGAGTCGAGATCATTCGAGAAGAGGCAGCGTGCTCGAACGAAAAATCCAAAATCGGAATTACTCATTCTCAGTTACCTTATCGGTTGTTCGCAACGCTTGGTCGATGCAGGATCGAGCGAAGAAGGAAATTCGAAGCACAATCGATGCAGATTGGCCGGGTCCGGTGGGTCCGGTGGATCCGATGGGCCGTCGTGCGTGGAATGCAAAACGACGAACGTGGTGCGCGAGTAAGTAGAACGTGGTAAGGGACAGAGAGAAGGAAACGGTGATCAGCCAGGATGAAGCGACGAAGGGTGTGCCGGGGGAGAGTAGAGAAATAAAGGCAATGAATGATGCGATGCGGCAGGTGCATCGTGGAACGTTTAACGAGTGGTTCGCTCCCAGACTCCGTGCACCTGTAACGCTTGGACCCGGGCCGCTTCGATCGACGAGAAGGCAACGAGACTTGCCTTCTTCCTGTCTCCTCCTTCGATTCACGTGCGTATCTCGTTCTCACGGTTTTTTCACGCGCGAACCTCCAACAAACGACTCGGCTTGTTGCTCAAAATATGCCTGCAATGGTAAATTAAATCGACAGAAATTAAAAAGCTGGCTCGATGATGCGACACACATAGACTTTAAACCCCAAGCACTCCAAGAATATGAGACATATGTATAAATACATAACATAAAAGTATATATATATATATATATATACACTTATATATATATATATATATATATATACACATACCTGCATACCTTTTAATAAAAGTAGTCAGGAATCTGTAACCAAACCCCTATAGTTACTATGTAACGTAAAATCAACCTGTAAATATAGATTAACAATGAATTTGTAACCGTGAAGTAACAACGGCTTATGTTTGCACTTACAACGTGTGTACAAAAGCTGAAGTATGAAATTCCATAAAACAGCTTGTGCTTGGCGTTAAACATGGATATACGTTGCGCTTCCAACATTTTATTATTGCACCCTCATCTGACGGGTGAGAATTTAATAAAGAGTCTTAGGATCTATTACCACCAATACCTCTTAGTGTAATTGCTCTCTTTTATTTTTATATGATTTTGTATTCATATCTTAGGCCTCTGATATAAAAAACTAAAAACCAAAGGAAACACAAGCATTGTTGCAAATACACTTGAAAAAATCACAAAGCTAAGTTATATGAATATAGTTAAAGTACATACAAATAAGATTTATTATTGATATACAAACCAAGAGCAATTATGTACGCTTTTTCTTGATTAACAAACAAAAAGATGGAAGAACAAATAATGACAATTGCGCAATGAAGATTCCTTAGTCTCTCTGTCTGCAGACAACTTGCAAAAGCATTTGCTTTGATATTTCAGGTTAGAGTTGATATTGAATCATTGATTTCTAAAAAGACATTACGTAACAAGATTAACACGCCACCTCGTGGGAAAAAATTAAATTATTTGATAAAATATCGATATATCAGTGTGGTGTGACTTGAAAGTTACTCGTAGAGGGTTGTTATTAAACATTTTATTTTCGTTATTGTCAGTCACCGTGACACGTCTGCTGCCAGTGGGCAGTCGGAAGGAGAGACGCGCGGTCGCGATATTTCAAGGACCGTAAGTGAGGAAGCTGGAGCCCTCCAGCCTCGAAACGTGAGAAATAAACGATGCCGCGTACGCGCGAGATGAAATATGATCGCGGCTATACGCTCGGAGAAAAGCCGCTTAAGAATGCTCTCCACTTCCCCTTCTCACGCACACGTGAACGCAACCATCGACCGTCGTTCTCTCGCGCTCTCTCTCTCTCTTTTTTACTACCTTCTATCCTCGTCGGTCATCCCGTTCTCGATCGACCCACCTGTTGAGTGCCGGATGAGGCTCCTTCTCCACCGGCGCCGCCGCGACATACCTTTTTCGCCCTCTTCGTCATCTCAACGTCGACTTCCCGCGAAAAACTTCTCACTCTTTTTTCGTATTTCGTCTGCTTTTGAATTTTCGCGGGCCTGCTGCCATCGTTCGCGTTCGTGCCGACCAATCGAATCACCTCCTTCGAAACAACGCGCATGCGTATACGCGCGTCAGCCATACGATTCGAAAAACGAACGAAATTCAAGAACGACTCGAGAAACTATTGAAAAATAAACATCAACGTTGTTGGGAATTTGTCATGTGCAAGATATTCGAATATCTCCTCTATTAGAGATATGTAGCACGAAAATCGTTCCTGATGTAACTTAACCTGGTTGAAGAGACGAATCGGATGGGAGAACCATCTTTTTAGAAATATCGTCTTTTTATGTCTTTTTCAAGGTTATCGGCATGTTTTTCTTTGTTTTTTTTTTTTGGTATTTTATCACGTAGCTCGTGAAAAAAAAGTACATTCAGATACATTTACGACGTGACCATCAAATGATCTTGGACTTGAAAATTTTTAAATTAACGTGAAACTTATGTTGAGCGACGGTGCAAAGCACAAATCTAGTGGAAAGGATATACAAACACGGCGAAAAGAATCCACAGTAAGTGCAATAGTACTTTGTAGCTAACATTACAATTGATACAATATAACATTGCAGCGTTTTTACATCGATGAGCTCCAACGTGGAAAGTCTTGCCTTGTTCGAATGGAAATCCCGTAAAATTGTGCAGTATGATTTTATAACTTTATAATTATATTTACAACGTAACAAACAAGTCCTGTAAAATTGTAGAGTATTTTTTTTTTTTCAATTCCTCAGAACATTATCGCTGCGTTTTCAACGAGAACAAGTGTAATATAAGTGAAATTTATGTTAGGAAATGAATGGAAGGCGTCGACTAACGACATCGAGGCGGAAAAGTCGTACGTTGGCCAAAGGCGAAGTCGAAACGGTGGAATGGAATCGAGTGGAGTGGAGTGGAGTCATTGGCAAAGAGCGGCAGGTGCGAAGAGCCACGCGATCCTCGCGAAATAATTCGGCTGTCTACCGATGACACGAACGAAGAGGCGTCCACCACGAGCACGGCTCGCAGAGCTGGAATCACCGCCACCTGTCCGCACTCCACCCATCTCGACCACTAGCCCGCGTAAATATTTCAAGCCCCGACTCTCGGCGAGAAACTCGTTCGAACCGCGAGCAACAGCCGATCCAATTTTTACTCCCGTCCTTCCTTCGGCGTCTCTGGCCAACTTTATTCTCCTCCCCCTGGATCCACTAATTTCCCTCCCCCCCTCCCCTATCAGTTCCGCTGATCGTTCCACACGCCGTCGTCGGACGATTTGACGATCTGCGCCGTAGATACGTGCGCGTATTTGCATGGATTTATTTGCGCTTTCGCGACTTGAATCGACGAATTGAAAGCCGAGGGAAGTGAAACGAGACGGACAGGGCAAACACATGCACACGCGAACAGAGAGAGAGAGCAAGGACATATGGCAAAGCTTTAATAATTGAAGCTGACACGGACGCAGATGGGAACACAGCCCCGCACGGTCCGCCCCCATCAAATATTTAGAGATTATAAAGTACGCACATGCTGCTCGGTGACGTCGTTTGTACGTTTCCTTGCGTAAACGCGTGTCCGTATCTGCGCCGCGTGAAACCGACAATGGAAAATTGTTCGGAAGAAATCGGTGGAAGATGGAAGATGGAAGATGGACGACGGAGGGAATCGCAAAGGAATGAGAAACGAGATTAATATTCGGCGGCCGAATACTGATAGCGAAGAGGCAAGAAACGAAGGCAATGGCAACGGCAGGTGTGTGCGGCCGATACTCTCACGACAGTGGGGATACTGACAAATCGCAACGCCCCCGGAAAAGAGAAGACCCTTGCCAAACTTGCCCAACAGGTTACTACACGCCACCGACAGTACTCCCAGTTAAGGGTCCACACTCGGGCCCCGAAAGCGGACGCTTAAGCGAGCAGATGCATTCTGCAAATTCTGCACCGAAATGTCGGCTATCACTCGCTTTGCATTCGCCCAAATGTGTTTCACGCGACACCTTGGGCAACACGATGACAAAGTAACATAGAGCCAGATAGTCCCAATTTCAAGAAAACTGCGGATGCTTGGTAAAAAGAAAAGTTTGTTCATCGTAGATTCTACACCCTCGATTTCATGGAAATATATGTGTAAAGAATCTGCCGCAAAATTGATCTTGAATTTCAAGGTCAAAAATCTTCTTTTTCCTTGCTCATTGTATTGATTGATCTTCAATTACAAGATCAAAAATCTTCTTTGTTCTTCCCCATTCTATTGATTGATCTTGAATTTCAAGATCAAAAATCTTCTTTATTCTTGTTCATTGTATTGATTGATCTTGAATTTCAAGATCAAAAATCTTTTTTCTTGCTCATTGTATTGATTGATCTTCAATTTAAAGATCAAAAATCTTTTTTCTTGCTCATTGTATTGATTGCTCATCGTATTGATTGATCTTCACTTTCAAGGTCAAAAATCTTCTTTCTTCTTGCTCATTGTATTGATTGATCTTAAATTTCAAGATCAAGAATCTTCTTTTTTCTTGCTCATTGTATACTGCTCATCGCGAAGGTGAAACTTTTCCAATGAACTATAGGTCGTAACCTGATGGTTCTCTTGAAAAATGGCTTAATCATTCAACACTGCTTTCACAATCGTGATGAGCATATTATACAAGATCAAGATCAATTTTGCAGCAGGTTTTTTACATATATCTTCATCAAATCGAAGGTATAGAATTCATCTATGATAACCACGGATAAACTTTTCTTTCCATCCTGTATATACTTCTCATCATATCGCGTTATCAGCTCCCCATGGTCAGTTCGTCTTGCAATTCTTCCAGATGGTACGTATCTCTTCTTCTTTTTTTCTTTGTGTGTGTGTGTGT